TTCTATCTGGGTAACAGTGTGTACGTATGTGTATCGCACTTTTACACACGCGTACAGCCCCGATACTCTCCCCTGACACTCGCTCTTGTACATAATAAGATCCAATTTCAGAAGCCGCGCCGCCGATACCCGGACGATTGCTTTGTGTGCGCGGAGCGAAAGTACTTGGCCCGGGTTCGCGAACTTGTTGTTGCAATGCGTTTCGAACGTTGTCACGACTCGAGAAAAAGAGAGAGAGAGAGAGAGAGAGAGAGAGAGAGAGAGAGAGAGAGGTAAAAAGAGAGAGAAGGAGCAAACTGTCTCTCTCGCACGTATCGAAAGCCAGACCGGAGAGCGACTTTGCGCCGGGCAGGAACTTTCAATAAGATCCCGGCGGTCCTACGAAATGTGGCGCCGAACCCGCCTCACCGTATATACGGGAGTGAATCCGACCTCCGCATGCTCGTTCGCATGGAAACTTACATGATCGTCGAATCGAATCCCGAATTCTTTATACCCCGTACGGCTGCGCCGCCGTCGTCGTCCACGTCCGCCGTCCGTCGGCCCACCGCCAGGAATCCCGCCCCTCAACGCTCGCGATGTGCAACTTCCGCTCTCTTCTTTTATATCGCGAGTCACGTCTCGCCATAACCGGCGGGCAGATTTATGAGTCAGCTTCCGTTCGATACGTATCGATTCACTCTCGTCTTGCAGCTCGCATGCAGTCGACGGGAATTCCACCGGTGCTTCTTCCGGTCCGAATCGTGCCCCTTTCCGCACGGGGAACATTTTCGGGAATCCTGAAACTCATCGCCCCCCATTGTCCATTTTGCAGCATTCCATTGCACTTTAGTAGCGAGCGAAAAATCGCGTATGAGGTTTCGTGTTCAAGTTGGGCGATACGGTGACGATACGGTATCGATACAGAAGGAAATAGGGATTTTTTCCCCGGAAAATAAGGTTTTCTGGGAAAAATCCTTATGTATCGATATTATGTATCTCTTTATGTACCGATACTATGTATCGATATCCTATGTGTCGCTTAAGTTCACTCTAGTTCATGTCTTCCGAGTCCTCTTTTTGTTATCGACTAAGGTTTTCTGGGAGAAATCTTTATCTCCCTATGTATCGATACTATGTATCTTTTTATCTATCGATATCTTATGTATCGCCCAACTTCACTCTAGTTTGTGTCCTTTTCTGTTATCGGCTAAGGTTCTGGTTCTCTGAGAGAAATCCTTATCTCCCTATGTATCGATATTATGTATCTCCTTATGTATCGATACCTCACATATCGCCCGACTTCACTCTAGTTTGTATCCTCTTTTTGTTGTCGACTAAGGTTCTGGTTTTCTGGTAGAAATCCTTATCTCCCTATGTATCGATATTATGTATTTCCTTATTTGTGTTAATACCTTATGTATCGCCCAAGTTCACTCTAGTTCGTGTATCTACCGAGTCCTCTTTCTGTTATCGGCTGAGGTTCTGGTTTTGTAGTAGAAATCCTTATCTCCCTATATATCGATACTATATATCTCCCTATGTATCGATATCCTGTGTATCGCCCAAATTCACTCTAGTTCGTGTCTCTTCCAAGTCCTCTTTTTGTTATCGGTTGAGGTTCTTGAGCGTTGATATACGTCGTTAATAACTGATATAATAATTCCGCAATATGGAGTTTTCTGGAACGAGTAGCCGAAAAAGGGGGAAAAAATTTCAGTCTTCAATAGCCAACGAGAAAGTTTTAATAACCTCTTGGGAGAGGTTCCAGCCGCACCTGAAGGAGAAAAATCCTATCGTGGTGCTCGTGCCTTAGAATTTTTACACACTAACTTCATTACTTTCCGATATTTTTGTTCTTACTTCATCCAGTGTCTGTAGCTTTCGTATCGAAATTCTTTTCCTCCCCATTTTACGAAACGCAATATTTGTTGCGATTGACAATATCGTATTTAATTTCAAGATATCAATGTCGACGGGAGTATAAAGCTTGGAATGAAATTTATTCCGGGCAAAATTTGCAGCTCGATCGTGAAACGATAAGAAGAGTAATATAAAGTTTCAAGTTCCTATCGTTACGTGCAGTTATCGAATGAAAATATAAGATACAATCTCTTTGTCAGATATAATCTGGAAATCTCTCGGAGGTGCCGGAATTAACGACCGTATAGAAACCGTTTGTCCTTGTTACGTTGTGGAAACGCCGTGTGCGGAATTTCGAACAACGTCCACCGTGTATATTCGGAACGGCGCAAACCAAACATATTTTCGGTCGTTGGGAAGAACGATATTTTTAATTCACGACGTATCGCGACCGGACACGATATTCTTTGAAGATATTTTCGAAATACGTTTGTCGGAGGATATCTACTCTCTCTCCCCCCGGTTTTCCTTTCTTCTTTATCTGTACACAGCATAAAAGCGTGAGATTATAAATTAGATATTGCCGCGCGCGTAGCGACACGGAGAATTGTATGCTATGTAAAAATTCTGTGACACGCTGAAATTGCATAACGTTGAATATTACCGGCGCCACCGCTTTTCGAATAACAGTTGACAATACAAACACGGATTAACAATGCGCATTGCGTCGGGCGATACATAATCGGATGTGAAATTTAATCATTACAAGCCGTTCTCACCTCGCGAAACACCGAAGTCAGCGCGAATTAAAATCTCAAAGGACTCGCCGTGCGTATGCCGGGGCGAAATAAAGAGAATCGGAAAACTTGGTGAACTTTCTTTGATGCTGCGCCACTTAAGCGCTAACTCGTCGTTCGAAAACTTCCGTCTCTGCGTTCTGCAGGTTGTATACGTATACAAGCTATAACATAGCTTTCATGACTTTCTGATCCGGTTAGCTTCTCTTTTATCGCTCTGTTTTTACTGCCTCTTGCTTTACGGTCGTACTTTTTTTTTTTTATATTTGAACTCGGCGAACTTTTCGATCTGCTTTTTCCCATCAATTACAATTGTACAAAGAAAGGGACGAGAACACAACGAAGTTGTGTCGGGAAAATATATCGCTAAACGCGTATTCGAAAATTCGCCCGACTGATGTTACATGGGTTATCGCTTAATTTTTTTCCTTGGTGCAAAAAGAGTTCCATCGAGTAAATAAAAATGCCTACGCGCATACATCCCTATTTTAATCGAATCGTGTATTTTTTTCTTTTTTTTCACGAAATAATTCAATGTATGTATGTATTGAGTTTTCCGTTCGCAAGATTGTTTTTATACCGTGAATTTTGTTTCGGCATGAAAAATTCGCGCATTTACGATATTAATTTCCAGGATAGCATTCCCGACGGCGGTACTATTATTTATGGATCTTTATGAACAAAAACAGCCGGCCGGCCAGCTTGGAGCATTAATTTGTTCCGGATCAGCGCGGACATAATTTTATCGTAACAATGCTGGCACACCCCCCATATTCACAAACGCATTTTAATCTATCGCGCAATTAAGTGTTAATTAGCTGCTGTGGGCGATTTCATTATTCAATTACAAAACACAACGCGCGTGTGTTTTGTACGGGCAAATATGCGCGTTCGCCATTACAACAGTATGTAAAATTTAATTTCGTTCGGGTAAGCGAGTCCTGCGAAAAAAAAAAAAAATGTTCACGCGCGTTTAGGCGTCGCAATTAAAATTTCTTTTTTCATCGACGGCGAATCAATGAATATTAAAACAATATTATGGACGTTTTCAGGGCTTTTCGGGGTTCTTAGTCACAGCACGGAAGACTCTGTGATTAAAAAAAATACACCTTTACAACGGATTAGTTTCTCCTCGTAGTTTCAAGCGGGAACGTTTCACGTGAGTCACGTGTGTCCGATCGATCGTATCCGTGAGTGCAATTGCGAGCGGCGTTTCAAGCGTTTTCCCAACTATCGCAGCCATAAAAATCTGGTATAATGATACCGAGGAAGTTATATGCGCAGTATCTAGATTTGCCGGTAGATAAAATTATCTAAATAATCATTGAGATGAATAAATACATCATCTTTATTTTCACCAAGATGGAAGAAATACAAAATATATTCGTCCTAATCTTAGATGAAAAAATATGTTATCTCATCTAAAAATTATCTGAAATGATGTTATGGTCCGTGTTCTGAACTCACTTTTCGATCAAATGAATGAAATAATATGGACCTATGCGTTAAGCCTGTATCAGATTAGGGATTGGAGATTAGATTTCAACGAATCGACTAATTTCGGTTTTGTCTCCTTTGGTCTGTTATTTTTAGCTGCGCTGTTATTTGAGACAAAATATACTCGTCTTGCTCGAATTTATTACACCAGTTCAGCAGTGCAACTACAAAGAATAGACCATTTGTTTCACTTGATCAATCCACTTTAAATCTGTATCGAATTGTTGACTGTGAAGGCCAACCCGACTGCCGATTACGATTGTCAACTTTTAATGGACCAATTACAATAGAGTAGTTACATGACCCTTCGCAGTAATAGGTCCTTCAGGAGCCGACAGTCGTAACCGCCAATTAGATCGGCCTTCATAGTCAGTAGTCTAATATGGGTTTTATAAAAGAAGACCGAAACGATGACTGCATTCAGAAAACACAGCGATTAGTGGATAGTCAATGATTATTGATTTTTTTTGTTAGATCCTTAAATTTAGAGCGATTATTAAATTTAGAGCGATTAACGAATTAACCGTTAACCGTTGTACCATTTTATGATCTGCGTAATTTTTATTACAAATTTTTATAAAGTCTTTTATGAAAGCAATATCATTTAAAAAGTTATCTGGATAAGTAATGCTACGTATCTTATTATACATCTAAATAAATCAAAAGCAAAATCATCTTCGTCTCATTGAAGATGAATTTTTCGAATTATCATCTCATTTTCATCTAGGTGAATCTGAAATCATCCATGGCAAACACTGGATATATGTATACGTTAGTTATCCGTCCCGCTGGTACACATCAAATTAATTAATTAATTAATTAATTAATTAATAATACATTAAAACGATTCTCCCTTTGTTTCAGATCGTTTACGATTAATGGAATAACAACGTTTGCGGTTTCCACAAGCCTAAAGGAATCGATTGTCCCAGCGTTGTCATCGTGAGTACATATTCGATATATTGAGTTAAGGACTCGATTTTTAGGATCAAAAAACATTTTTTTACTGCATTATCTGAAAGTATGCATTTTTAAGAATCTATTTCTCTAATCCGCATCGAAAAATTTGAAAAATTACGAAAGTTACAGCCTGTTATTCGAAGCGACGCGCAGGTCGAAATCGTAGCGCTCACCGCACCTTTTGAAATTTCGGCGTAAAATAACCGCGGTGAAAATCCTACGATCCTTTGGCATACTTAAAAGGTTTAGGGGTTTGCTATGTATTAAAACCAGTTCTATCACGGCCCGGTCCTAACACGCCTCGGTCCTGACACACACCAGTCCTGTACAGACACGAGATGTAGAAGCTGTTTTGTTTGTCTTCAGTCCTTCGAATTCGTTCAGTTCGTACGGACGTATCGTTGCAGGATGAACCGTAAAGGCTGAAGAAAGGCTCAAGCACGTGCAAATCGTCCGCGAAAAAAAAAATTTTGTGGGAGTAAACATACAATTGAGACTCGAACCGAAATCGCGAGTACGTCAGCACAAAAGTTACAGTCGAGCGAAACAGAGTTTGTTATCGACGGTATTCGTGGTTATCGTTTTATAAATGTAGAAATAATTAAGTTTTAGTTTTTTTTTTTATATCTTTCGTACCTACTTGAATAGTTAAGACATGTGAATTTATCTATTGATTGGTTTCGTATTATGCCGTATTTTATATTATTTTGTTTCGTATTATATGGTCATAGATGATGTATCACCAATATTTCGTCGACGTGTCGTGAGACGAATCTCGTCAGAATCATCAAACGATGAGAATATTAATTTATATCCGCGGAGAAAAAAACAATGTTTACAAGCACGTGTAAACGAGAAGAGAAGTATGTTTTCTATTCTCTTATTAATCCTGCTGATATAATTTATGCACTTAAAAAATTGATTATATCTATGTTTGACTTTTTTCCAGCTCAAGATAGACCATGATTTTGATAGTCTCAGAAAGTAAAGCCCTAACAGAAAAGTTAACTTTTATTGTATTTAATAATGGAGAAAAAAGTGAGCTTCACGATAAAAGTTTTTTGAACGCTAAGTTCAATAGTTTTTCAGATATCAGCATTTATATCAGAAGAAAATCAACCAAATAAGCGCGGTTGCTTTCGTATTAAGCCTTCGAGAAGTTCGAACACGTTAGTTGAGAGTCTTCGGGCCGCGAAGTGTTAAGAAGTCTCGGAAATCATTCGAATTATCTTGCGGCTTTCGAAAGCAGCGTTCTTAAAAGTCACGCCTACATTTTATATTCGAATTTCTCACTAATATAATATCTACGTCGGCGGGGCACGTAATTCGACGTGGCTGATTCATGCCAGCACATCGAAACTGCACCGAAAACGAAAGATGATATCGTCGATTCGGTACCCAGAAATTTACCTGCCAGTTTGCTATCGGTTATTATCGCACTGGGAGAGAGAGAGAGAGAGAGAGAGAGAGAGAGGAAGAAAGTACTCAACGCATAATAAATCAATAATTGGCTTAGATAAGACCCTATGTATCGTGTACTCCATATATTCGATTCAGCACTCTTATCGCCGTTCTACCATGGATATTGCGCGCCACACACACACACACACACACACACACACACACACACACAGTGATTAGATGCCGGTCTCGCGCCATGTTCCGAACGTGAAATATAGGGTAAGGCGATACACACCTTCGATAAGGCTCGAAGGAACCGGAAACCGCTGACGGCGAATCTATCGGAAATCTATTTAAAACTGCTTAAAACTATATGTATCGCGCGAGCTACGCGCCACGTTCACGAACGTTTCGCCTCGTCCCGCTTTCCCGAATATTCATAATTAATTAAATCGCCGAGTCGCACACACGTGCGACGCTGCGACGTTTTATTATTTATTGTTTAAATTAATTTCGATAGATACACGGACGGAAAATTTATTTCTGCGTTTATTCGTGCGCGCGCCTCGATGTGCCGGATTTAATCCGTTTTCGTTACCTGATACGACGTTCCGCCGTACTATATCCTAAAAATGAGGGGGGCCGGGGAGAGGGGAGGGAGGAAAGTAGTGAAAAATCGTACATCGGACATTCTCTCTCTCTCTTTCGTACCTGTTTTCGTCGGGTTTTACGTCCAACGGCGTTCGAGAGAGAATGCGAATTGCGGCTGTTACATTTTCAACGACGACGCATAGTCGCCTGGCGCCTGGGGGAGGGGTGGGGNGGGGGGGGAGGACCTCGAATGGGGCGCGGTGCGCGTTTGTCGCACGTTTTAAAAGGATCGATTGATCGCGCATGGAGGAGGCGTGCTGCCGGCCTCTGTTTCGAGTCAAAATTCCCGCGGCTACCGACCGTAATATCATCCTTTTCGGACAGAGAGAGAGAGAGAGAGAGTGAAGGCAGCTAGTTAATGCGATGAGAGAACCCACACGTACATGCATCTGACGCCCATCCTTCACGCACAGCCCTGTCCGATTAAATCTATTATGCTATTGTTTGCATCTGTAATTATATCGGACAGGATGCTCGAGTGAATTCAGCGGGTTTAACGAGCGTTTGATCTAGGGGAAGAGGGGAGATATTTTATATAATAATGTAATTAGAATATGTGAATGAGAAAAAGAGAGAGAGAGAGAGAGAGAGAGTGTGTGTGTGTGTGTGTGTGTGTGTGTGTGTGTGCTTTCATATACTCTACACTCACAGAAAGAATTAGTCGTCGTAACTAAATTATATCTGTGGCAGCTAAAATATAACTGTGTTTTTTTAAATAGAGACAATTAATGTCACTGTTACCACAGCTAAATTTATTTAGAACAAATTGAAATGTATCGGGCTCTCGAAATATACAATCAGGAAAGGGAAATATAGAAAGGCCTACAAAAGCTGTTGGTACGAATCAATTCAAACGGGAGGATTAATATTTGACAGTGTTATCGGTTCGCGTTGACGGTTTTGCCAGACTGTTTTCAAACGTACGCGAGAAACGCCCGTCAAACTGACCCTGCATATTCCAATTATTATTTAAATCCCCAAATATCCAATTAATAATTATCTTGTTTGCGCGTTAATTGACTCTCTAATAATTTCGGGCGATCTCTCTTTTTCGCAACTTGTTAGAGAGTCAGTTAACGAATATGATAATTATTAATTAGATATTGGGGGATTCAGTTAATAATTGGGGTCGGTTTGACCTGGTAGGGGAACCGCGTACGTTTGAAAAGTTTTGCAAAGTTGCCAGCAAATGCGACAATTCTGTCAAACGTATATCCTCTTGTATAAATTTATTTGCAACAACAAACTGCGTCCGATTTTTACAGACCTTTTCATGTTTTTCTATTTTGATTGATCTCGGGAGAATAATACGTTCTTTGTGTATCTCGGGAGAATAATTTGTCCTTTGATGACGCTGCGGCTGAGCGCCTGTTTACTTTCGATTTAATATTAATAAACGTTTAAGTTGCGAGAAATATTGTCGAAACCTCGATAACTGAATTGACGAAGCATTCCGTCCGATTTCGATTCCTGATTGAAGCAGTATTTCTCGTAAATTTGTAGAGTCAATTAACGCACAAGCAAGGTAATGATTAATCGAGTGATTTGGGGATTTAATTAATGATTAAGATGCAGAATTAGTGAGACACCCTACATATGGATACACGTAACATAACGTAACGAGACGTCGAGAACAGAAGTCACTATCGAACATCCGATTTCCCGACGACGCTCCTGAAGCGACAACCTATTCGTTCTATTATAACTTTCCTTTCCTTTAACGTAATCGACGGCCGGTTATGAGCGAGATTTGACGGTGAAGATACTAAATCGCGATAATTGACGTCAATTAGAGGGACGTCCGTCGCGAGAGACAAATAGTCGGCATTAGTCGTGTCTTCATCTTTCCCGACAGATGAAAGAGCTGTAACCAAAGTAGTCCGGTATGCGCCGCTAGATAGAACGACAAACTTTTCAGCCTCGCAGAGACGCGCCCATTGGACGTTGTACTTGTACGTTGTACTTGTACGTTGAACTTGTACGTTAGACGTAGCGCGGTATGCGCGCTGACGTCGAAATGTCTTCCACTTTGAACCTAGTTCTCCGTACAGAAATTTCTCAAACATTCCTAAATATAGCAGAGATTCTGACCAGATTACCCAAACTTATCCCAAATAAGTGTAAAATACTGCGATACCGATCGGAAATCTCATTCTTATCCCAATTATAAGAAAACTTCAGGAAAACATTCGGCAAAACAAGCGAAATCTGTCTGGGTTTCCCACTTAGAATTGTAACTTTATCTGATTAATCGGAACAGATCCCAATTTAAGATTCTCTATTTAGGAAACATAGATCTCATTTTGTCTGCCCGATGAAGAAATATATATATAATTATATATAATTAAACATTTAATTTAATCGTAGAGTTTCATGTTCAAAATAAAAATATATATTGTTACATATACTAAAAGCATTCATAAATCATCTCATAAAATAGTTGATCAAAATAACTGAAACAGCTTGAGTATATGAGCTTTTTAAATATTTGTACTTGTAAAACGTGCGTAAATGCTCGAAGTTTTTCATATATTTCGTTCAATGTAAATATAAAAGCTTAAGGAAAAAAGAATACTTTGGACGAACGTTTACAGGGAAAATGGGATCTGTCTGAGTTTTTTTTTAGAATCGCACTTTGGGCAAACGTTAGATAGAGAAAATGGTTAGATAGAGAAAATGGTATCTATCTTTCCACTTGAAATTTCACTTTTGAAACGTTACATCTCTGATCCGAGTCTCCATAGATTTCCCAATCAGAATCCGTCGTTTGTTTCGGGGAATCGGAATAGACCCCAATCAGGTCCCAAACAATTTTTTATACGGGTCTCTCGCCCAGTGCCGGAAAATCCGTCTGGATTTTCGCATTTCAGGAGCCTTGTAGGAACTGTCGGCCGGTATCGTCCCCGCCTGCGAATTGTTTAAAATTCCAC